CCTCTTCTGTTCTCTTCCATCGGCCTTCACCTACCCTCTCGGATCATCTTCCCTTAACCCACGGCCACTTTCTTTTCGTCTCTCCTTTCGCATTACGGTTCGCGTCGATCTAACTTCCTCCCGGCTGCTGGCTTGATAACACCGTCGTTTCGAAGGGTCGAGATAAAGCAACGAAGGCCTGAAACGAAGGACCGAGGCGTGGGGAATGCGGCCTTTTTCATTGTCTCCGGTTGAACGGACCGTGAGTCTGATAAGGCTAATTTTCGCTACCCCCGATTTTTCACTGATTCCTGTAATACGAACGCCGATTGATTCGTATTTGGGATTACAATGACTTCTGCCGCCGACGTGTAGTGTTCTGGATTGATTTGCACCCGTATGTTGCCGCTGCCACGAACGATGGATAAAAATATTTCACGCTGTCGACGATGGTTCGGTGGAAAAATTCCATTGGGCCAGCATACACCGACCATTCAAAATATCATTTTCATTAACTTGGATGACTAATAGGCGTTAGAGATATAACGCTTCCAATGATATATTAGCTGTTCATCGACGAACAGCTATTTTTCAATTGCTAGACGCGGATCGTTCTTCGAACGTGACACTGTGCGTTTGGCTTTGTGTCAATGAAACTTTCCGTTGTCCGTAATTCTGACGTTTCATTTAAACCATTTAAAACCGGTGTCTCGTTACAAAACGATCTTTAAAGTTAGTTATGTTTCAAAGTTTTAACGATAGATTATATTCATATTCATCTTTTACCTAAATTTATTTTCCCACAATTTTCCTCTATTATCCCTTTTTCGTGTGATGATTTTTGATAACTTCTTGTATATCGAATAGTTATAAAATTTTAGTTTCAAGATCCATGTGGTACTTCGTCGATTTCAAATTAACCAGACTGACCTCGAATGTGTAAGCAAACGCGTTATAAAAAGTAGTGTAAAAGAAGAAAACGATACAAGCGAATCACTGTGCTGATTCATAAAGATACTGATTTCTGTGTGTCAATGGTCCGCCATTGTCCCACAGGCAGTCTATATTCGCATCTTTACCGCGGACCAAATCAGAGCTCCGCCTCGTGTCTTCTAATTTCGGCATCAAAGCAAGGCGCGAGCGATTTTCCGTCAATTGAACGTGGCTGCCTTGAGGATGGGCGACAACAAACCGCCGCTGTATATCACGAGCCGTGCGTGGAAGGGTGGATGAGTTTGAACGAGTAACCGCTCAAAGCGTTGAATATTCTTCTTCCATCCGGTTCTAATGACTCGACTCACTTAGCGTTCTCCTCTTGTTCGTCGTCTTTCCATTTCTTACGAAAACGTTGGCTGTACGCGTAACACCGTTTAAACGATTATCCTCGTAACGAAGGTTGATCGAGAAAAAACGGACGGAATCTGTCCGACCCGAGGGACGATTAGGATTTCAGTCCCACGAAATTGATTAAAAATTACTTTAGAATGGTTCGAGAGATGTTAGTTGTTTTATACGAAAGTACGAAAACCTTCGGGATACGTAGTTTCTCACGAAGGAAAATTATTCAAGAGGTTGGAGGATGGAAGGACATAGTCGAGCGAAAATAAGAGAAATATAGAGTTCGAGGATTTTGCAATGACGAGTCGCGTAGAGTAATAGAAAATTGGAACACGCAATACGTAAAGTACACGTAAACGGACAACGATGGTTCCATAGAATAACTGAAATCGAGGGCGTATAATAGTCAAACTTAGAAGAGGATTCGTGATAACAATGGTTCTACAGGATCATTGAAAATGGGAACGCATAATAGACAAAGTATGCTCGATTTGCAGTTGCACCTGTATCGAGTACAGACGTGATCGATCTTTCGTTGGTGCTGCGCGTATGCTGTATGGGATAATCTGCGTGTATTTACTGGCAAAGGCTTACGAGTGTAACGTACGGTATTTTATTTTACACAGGAACGTTCCACTGCGTTCCGACGTGGTTCAGTTTTTTGCAGTTCAGCACAAAAAATTTGCTCGCTAAATCCTTTCGCGCTCATCCATTCGCGACGTGCAACAGACACACCCGGCCAACCGTTTCTCTTCCGTTTACTCTCACGCACACCTTACAGCTACCGGCGTTTTCTCCTTTCTTTCCACCTTCTTCTTCGTTTTTTCGCAACCCCTTGATGAAGTTTACTTCGTTTTTAAAACGGAAAGGGGAGGCGGGCCTCTCATTTGCTGCGACCAACGGACATATGTTACAACGAAGGTGGCGAAAAAAAAAAAACGACGAGGCTCGCGTGTTTCCGCTCGACGAGAAGTACAGCTTTGATTCCAGCTCTTTAATTTCACGTTTCCCCGTTTTTCATTTGTTTTTTCGCTCTGTCTTCGTTCCTCTGGTTACACTCACGTTTCACAGTCATCGTTGCCCGTATACAAACGTCATCGCGAATATCGGCGTCGAAATGCGAAATAAGCCGACGCTCGCTGCTCCGTTCGTTTAATTTTTTAATTATACCCGAGCCAAAAGGGGTGGGAAGGGGGGCGGTTTACGCGCGGAGCTGTAATCGAGCGCCTGTTATTCTTCGGCCGCGTATCACCGCGTATTTATTTTACCGCTTGGCCGACGGATTCCCCTCTCTCTCACATGCTGACGAATTTTAAACGACCCGACAATATCCTCCAAGAGATATGCTCGTTTTCCGCACTTCACCCCGCGTAAACCGATTACCCTATCGAAAACGTCCCACGTGCGACGATCAACGGACACGAAGTGGAAACTACGGACGAAATATCCGAGTTCGAACCTACGGACTTTTACTTTCACGAGCCAGAGAGCGTATTTCCTTTAGTTCGAGTCCTCGATGGTGCTGCCCGGAGGTGAAGAACAGAATTGGTGGTCTCTCTTGCCACGGTATATACATTTATATAACAGTGTCTCGTGCAGATCTCGACGAATTCGACACTCAGGACATAACGTAAGACGTATCTACAAATAACGAAGCTAGAATCAAAATCCGCAGGAGACACTTGGTCGACGTAATTAAAGCGACTCGCAAACCTCTATCATACACCATCTTACATGCCCCACCTTCTTACGTTCACCTACCAAACGCAGTCTCTTCACCCCCGTCCTTCTTTATTTTATCCAAATATCCATCTACACAATGCGCCGCAACGCCATCGATACTCAAAACGTATATATATATATAACAATATTCTCTCTTTCATACCAATCACATTCTCTCTCTTCTCCTCATCGATAATCTGCACTTCTCAAGACCTCAACGTCGAACCAACCAGCACACACCTCGACGACTACGAAGGCGAAGACGACGTCCGCGCGATGGATTGTCGAGTTCGCTACGCGTGCGGATGCGTGTGCGGATGTGGATGCGTCGACAATGCCAAGCCCGTGGAGGATGGCGTGGAGGTGGGTGGAGGACCGGACGCCGTGGCGGTGGTGGCGGATAGGTGATGACCGAAGAACGTCGGCCCTGTCGGAGGATAAGGTGGCGCGGCTGGGTGATAATAGCCAGGTGGCGGCGGTGGCACGGGTGGCGGATGATGGACGTGGGCGTGAGGATGGGGATGTGTGTGCGAGTGTGGCAGCGGGTGTTGATGAGGATGCGTGGCGAACAGGAAGGCAGGCGCGTAAGGCGGAGGATGTGGCGGTGTGGTGGGCACCGTGGGACTATTCACGTCCAGTCCTGGGTTCTGTTTCTTCCATTTGGTTCGCCGATTTTGGAACCAAATTTTCACCTGGGTCTCCGTTAACGAAAGGGACAGAGCCAGGTTCAGACGTTCGCAGACAGACAGGTATCTAGTGGTCTTGAACTTGTTCTCCAGAGCGACGAGCTGTTCGTACGTGAACGCAGTCCTGGCTCTTCTAGGTTTGCCTCCTGTGCCACCGCTCCCGCTGGTTCCATTCTGGCTGGTTTGGTTTTGACCTTGGCAACCCTGCGCTTGCACGCTGCTGGACGATGACGAGGATGAGGAGGACTGCCTCTTCTTGCAGTTCGACGATGGAACGTTGCTCGTTGTGGTGGTATTACTCTCCCGGCCAGCGTTCGAGGATTCCTGATCCGTCACCCTCATTTCCACGTCCTCGTCCTCGTCCTCTTCGTCAGGGTCCTCGTCCATGTCCTCCATCCCCGTGTCCGGTGTGCCCTCCTCGTCTTCCTGGCCGCTGCCGCAGGCGAACTCGCCCCGCGAGTCACCATCTGAAAATAGCAATAACACCAGAGGATCAGCGGCGGGGAACGTCTCGCGGAGGAAGATTGCCGTAGCAAGGAAAGCGATACGGTGTTGTGTGACGAAAATTGATTACACCACGGGGGGTATAAAATTGCGCCGCGGGTGTCGGTTTACCCATGACAAAGCGGTAACGCGATCCCGGCCGTTGTTTCACACCCTGTCCTCACATCGAGACGCGGAAGATGCGCCGTTCGAATTCGATACCGTATTATACGGAAAAAGTGAAAAAAAAGATGATCTCCATTTATCGGAGCGGAAAATAGGCGAAAGAGTGTATAACCAAATCGAAGTCCCAACCTCGTGTAGGAACCCTTTCATCCCATCACCGCTATCGCGGAACCGCAGTCACAGG